CCTGGAGGACAGCGGTCTGCCCGTCTTTATATCGTGGAATGTGTTTGGGTTGGTAGACACCATTTCGGATTTGTTTTCCGAGGGTCATCCCGGTAATACTCGCACTACTGTGGATTTTAATCAGACCCTGCAACACGTAGCACTGCAACGAAACTGCGCTTTGATCACTTTGCAGGATCGCCTCGCCCAGCGTCTCGTACATCCACTAATTATCCTACCGCAGAGGAAGCTGCACTCGTTCACCATCGGATCGGAAACTCTCAAGATCATCGCCATGTGGTCCCGAGGGTCACCGTTGGGCGAGAGCACAGCCCTTACCTACTCTCGCCTAAACGAAGCTGGGATACTGGACCACTGGGAGGACGATCTGGACGAGGGCAACCGCGTGCTGTCCGCGAGGCACTTGTCGGCCATGAAGCGAGCACTGCCCCTCAGCTTGCAGCACATGGCCCCCGCTTTCTACGTGCTCCTCGTCGGGCTCATCGTATCCGCCGTCGTGCTCGGGGTGGAGCTGGTGACCGCCAAGTGGGGAAGGGCAGAGAGCTCGGCAAAGCCCGGGGACGGGAACGCTCCTCAACGCCAGCCAAGCCGAGCGAGAAGCCCAGCCGGACGTCTCCCTGTCCCCTTTTCTCGCTAGAACCCCAAAACCCGGCCCTTGAAGCATCAAACACCGCAACGAAAACGTTTCACTTGCTATGATGTCACCGTCCGGGAGATGATGACGCGGGGAACTTGCAGTCCCAACTACAGTTTCTGCTTGCATGCAGTCGAGCCATAATAAACTGAAATTTCGATCTGGTTTGATGTTCCTCGTCGAAGAACTATAGACTTTTTGATACTCCGGTGCCGGATGGCAACTCATCCGGAAATATGAGCAGTGTGGGGTAACGTTTTGAGACATTACCCAGGCATTGAAGCTTCTTCCGATTTTTATATATTTATATATTTATTTCTTTTTAGGTTCGGGCTCTGAATGATGGTGGACGTTTGATTATGTTTCTGTGGCGTCGATCGGGGTCGACTGGACAACTCTTAGTGGTCGCGGCACCATATTTCCCGAGGGCTTGTGGCGCGCTGCCCCTCCGAGCCCGAGGCGACGCTGACGACAACGCCTGTCACAGGCCGGGTAGGCTGACCCGCCGAGCAGCTGTGCGGGGACGGCGGCCCATGCGCGCAGGGGCTCCAGCGACAAATGAAGACGTTCCTCGGGAAAGCGTTCAGCGCAAGGGCGACGAAAGGTACGGTAAGAAAAGACGCAATGAGCAGGCATGGGTGGTGTCTCTCTGACAGGACAATTTACCAAATGTGCGTTTAGTAGCCTTCGCATCATAGCCGATAGCTATATCAATAGAGCATGGGACTTCGCCTGAGTCTGGCAAACGTAAAGGAGGGCTTTGTGGGACAATTCGATACGAGGCCAGCCGTCATATTGACACCGAAAAAAGATGTACCCGGCGCGCGAAGACTTCCAGTTAGTTTCCATCCTCCAACCGAAATCGACTGAGCATCGACCTCTTTGACGAGCTCTTTCTTGTCGAATCAAAAGGAAAGTCGGCGCGTGCCTTTTGCTTTGATGCGTCTCACCTGGAAAAGGATTGACTGACTGGCTGATTGCGGTACAACTGCTCCGAGGCCTAGCCTGGCGCGCAGTGCCCTCCTGCCCAGCACACACGATGGACGTCCTCGCCTCGCCGTCCTGGCGCTAGCGGCGGTGCGATTCGTACCCGGGGGTTTAATTTACTTTTGTAGCACCTTCGGGTAGGGGGTGAAGCACATCTAGGCAATATACATGTAACCCCTAGGTACAGGAGATAGAGTACACATGGTCAATTTGTACTTAGGTATCGTCAGAGGGGTACAAACGGAGAGTGAACCGTTCATCGAGCGTTCATTGTCAGGACGTGTGTGGCGGCACGAGGACTACCACTTAGTCCTCACCCTTTGGCTGAAATCGACCGAGAAGCGACCTCTTTGTCGAGTTTTATCTCTAATCGTCGCAGCCATTTCAATGGCATAGAAACTCTTTCTGCGTGGCGACTGGGCGAGACCCCCGCAACTGACTTGAATGACTGGTCGATTGCGCCGCCGATTGCTTTCCTATTTCCTTAATCTTTCTTCAGAGCCCTGTGCTCAGTCCTCTCCAGCTCAGCGCACACGATGGACTTCCTCGTCGTCCTGGCGCTAACGGCGCTGCTTCTGAGCACCGGGGCTCCCGGGGTGCTCTCCGCCCTGGCCGTCGACGACACTCCCGTCAACTCCCCCGAGGCCACGAGCGCTCTGGCTCTGCTGTCACCCTACCTGCGGTCCCAGAGGACAACCCTGATCATCATCGGCCAGGTCAACTGGACCAGCGCTTTCCTCCGGGGCCTGCACTCGGAGGCCACTTGGGTACTGCTGCCCGGTGAGGATGAGGCCGTGTTTAGAAAACAGTTTGACGACGGCGTGGTGGACAACAACATACTGGCGATGGTGGTTGCGGACAAACCCAAGGACCCGTCCTCGTGGCTGCAGAACGATCACGTGAGCTACGCACGCTTCCTCTTTTGGATGACGCTTGGGCCGGGCATCGAAGATTTCATCTCAAAGGTTCCGCACTTCTTGTTCTCGGCGTGCATTCAGCCCACTGCTCTGGCAATCACAGCCCCTAACGGAAGCACCACCCTGTACTCGGTAGCTCAACAGGATTGTGGCAGGCGTGCTCCGAGACTTGTGAAGGTAGACCAGTGGTCCACGTCACGAAAGAGCTGGCGGCAAAGAGACGTCGTGCTTGCAGTTTTTGGTCCTTTCTGCAGCGAGTGGCAACCTCCCGCCGCGAACAGGTCCGCAAGTGTCTTTAGGCAAGCAGCAGATGGAAGGGCGTCACTTTTCGCCGAACTTTATGCGATCTCTAAAGAGAAAACTAGGTTATTGCCTTGGAATATAACCATAACCTCTACCATCAGTTTGACTAGTTCTAATTTTGAGACATTAACTTTCGTGTTGACGAGGGCTATAAGACAGTGCCGCCTGGATCTGGCATACGTAGAGGAAGGCTTTGCGGGACGGTTCGATACGAGGCTAGCTGTCATATTGCCAGAAAAAAAGATGCACCCAGTCACAGTCTACGTCCCCGCCGGCCTCGGACCCGCTGTCAACCCCCTTGACGCAGTCTTGGTGGAGTTCTCGCCGGCGGTGTGGCTGGGCACGGTGTTGGCCGCGCTGTTCACCGCTTCCGCCCTGGCCTGCATACTCCGCCGGGATCGCGGCGCGGCGCTGCTGCTGGCCCTGGCGCCCCTGCTGGGCCAGGCCCCGGGGACGCCCCCGCCCGCGGGCCGCGCGCTGCGGCCGCTGCTCGG